ACTGGCCATAAGATGTCGCGCAACCAATTGCTAAACTTGTCACTAGTTCGTTACCCTCTGCTATCGATCGCTGTGACTAATCACTTAACTTTTGTAATTAATGAAATTATATTTTTTAAATGAGAAATACAATTTATGCAATATTTATAATAACTTTTAAATTTCATAAACATAAAACCCACAAATATAATTAGTAATCAAATGGGAAAATTATAAAATAATTAATGAATAAATATATCAGTGATAAATAACAAAATTGGCATGTGAACCGTCTTCTCTCTCACAAACGATTTTTGAACCATCGTCTTCTTCCCTTGGATACGTAGGACTACGATCTCACCGGTTTAGGGCCGCCGGCATTCGGCGGTGGTAAGTTCTATAATGTATACATAACAAGTTTGCGGTTCGGATTCATGTCAGAGATTGAAAAGGCGACGGTTCTTCTCCGGCTCCGTACGTGACTTTATCAAGCTTCTAGTGGTGTTTCGTCGAGTTGAACTTCCACAAGTTGGATATCATGATCGATTCGGCGATGAATTTGGTTATTACGGTGGACTTTTCTCATCACATTCGCTCGCATAAGCGATCTTCAACGTAACGCTTCTCGAGGCTCTGCAATTCTGCAATGATTGATATGACGTGGAATCTACACAATCGTCTTCTTCAACTTACGACGTCATCTTCATCGTTTATTCCTTATCATCTTCTCCTCCTTGTGATGTGTAGTGGATTGGACAGTAGATTGTTGCTTGAAGATAAAGTAGAGAATAAGAAAAAGATTATATCAAGGGAAATTGTACTTTTGTGTTCTCTTATCATTTGTGCATCTAAAGTGTGGTTGTCAGCGTGCCGTTTTGTTCTTCCTTATGGTGCCGTTTTGTTATCATTTGTGCGTCAAAATCTAAGTTTGTCACGTCTGAATGTGATCCAAAAAGCATCGGTATCACGATTTCATTGCACATACGCTCGTTGATCTCTGGATGTCGATTTAATGAATAATCGCATTATCTCTCACTGGTAGAGCTCCTGTCCGGCGATGTCGTAATAATCAAAACTTCCACCGGTTTTCCGAAGCAAGTGTACATGATCAAAGAAGGGGCATAGCAATGTTTAACTTGGTTTATGATATATTATTGTTTTAAGTTAATTGCAGGTATAAAAATATGTATTCTATCAATTTTTTTCACTAGTTATGCACAATTTTTAATGATTATGGAATACCAGATGTTAAAAAAACAAAAAACAAAATTATTTCAACATAATTTTTTTAATATAAACTGATTTCAGGTTTATTGTTTAATATGATTTATTTAATTTCATTTTAAAATATAATTTCAATTAGTTGAGTTAATTTATTGAGTGAGCAACTGTTATTCTTCTCGATGTCGTGTTACCAATCGTTGCGACTAATCGCATTAATAAAAACCCCGTCGCTGAAAATCTAGCAAATTAAAAAC